AACAGAAGCTGCATACTCTCAAACACAAATAAAAGAAATGAATCCTTCCTGTACAGCCTATACCTTCCTAGAATGCACAGAACAATATTTACAATGCTTTCTGCATTAACAAGATATGGATTTAGTAGATCTATATGGTAAAAGGCACTTTTTATAAACTAATGGTTTTAACTATGTAGGAAGCCTTCCTAGTTGCATTTTCAAAGTGTCTTTGGCTGAGATTCTTAAAGAGACCTGAATTAGACCATTAGGCTTAGTAGAAAATTGTGCTGTCTAACTTTTAGATAACTGCTTTATATAATAGAATGCATAGCCCTGAGTTGCTCAAACTCATCCTGTGACACATGGGATCCATCAGGAACCTCGAAAGGGGAATTGTAGCTGTCAGTGAGGAGCTGTCTTAGTGAGCCAGGATAAAGCAATGGGGACAGACATGTCCTGTCCCTCTCTGAAGTTAGCACATTTAGCACTGCTAGTAGCTGGCTTCCTCCATCCATTCCAGTGTGTTTCTTGCATGCCTTCTCTAAAGACTGTTTAATCAAAATTCTCAGCAGCGATTAAAGCTAACATCCCACGCGAGTGCCCAAGTAATTAAGACAGCCAGTCTCTCATTACATAAAAACTGACAGCTCTGAAAAAAAGTTTGAGAGCTGCTTCTGAAAACAACCTTGACTTGGGGGTTAGGTAAAATTAAAAATTGTGCCACATTGTCCAAACCATGCAATGATCACCACCAATATCACTATCTTGCAATACTGAAGATGGCTGATGCTGTGCTTTGTGTGGGTGCACTCTGAAAAGCCTTACCAGTTTGAGCCCTCCAGGAGCATCAGGAGAAGAAACGGCTGCTTTGCTAATCCCAGCAGGCTTTAAACATCAAAAAGTCCTTAAACTGCTCAGCAGCCTCAAGACTTAGGTGCCCCCAAGCACAATGGGAAGGTTGATTTATGTAGCTGGGGAAGATTAATGCTTAAAGTTTAAGTACCAGGTGTAGAGAGCAGGTGGAATGGGCCACTGAGAGTTTGTGTTTTTAACTGAGACCCAAACATTTCAGGCTGCAAGAGCTGGGGCTATTCAGCCTGGAGAAGAGAAGGCCCTGGAGAGAACTGAGAGCAGCATTTCATTATCTAAAGGGAGGCTGTAAGAAGGAAGGGGACAGACTCTTTAGCACAGTCTGCTGTAATAGGACAAGGGGAAATTGTTTCAAACGAAAAGAGGGCAGATTTAGATTGGATATCAAGAAGTTTTTTACAGTAAGAGAGGCGAGGCACTGGCACAGATTGCCCAGATTGTTGGTGGAAGCCCCATCTCTGAAGACACTCAAAATCAGGCTGGATGGGCTCTGAGCAACCTGATGTGGCTGTAGGTGTCCCTGTTCATTGCAAGGGAGTTAGATCAGATGACCTGTAAGGGTCTCTTCCAACGCAAAGATTGTATGGTTCTATGATATAGAAAACTTGTCAGAAAACTACAGAACTCTGGACCTGTCACTAACAATATCCACATCCTATTCCTCAGCCAAACCATTTTAGGGAGCTTCAGACCTTTTGCCATCAAAAAAAGAGACTCTAATTTCTGCACACTAGCTGAGACTCAGGAACAGAGGAGAACATAAAAAGGGCAGGTGGAGAGAAAGTGAAGCATCACGTTCTCTCTGGAAAGCTCTGTCTCAAAACAGGAATCTCATCAGCTCAGTGGAGCTCTGCAAACACTCTTAACAAGCAAACAAGGAGTATGTCTGTGATCACCACTGTCCTGGCAGCAGGCTGTGGAAAATCTCTGCTTTATCCATGTTTGAATCTCAAAGATGAACTGTGAGTTTTAGAATAGGAGAGCTCTGTTTCTGAGGCAAACATTTTACTCCAAATGCCAATAACATTTAGAAACAATGCTCTTAAATTTGTAGTGCTTCATTCAAAGGAAACCCACTTGCCACAAGAGTCTCTCTCTCTTTCTTTCGTTATCATATAAATAAATATCTTCCTTTCAGCTGGAAGATACTCAACCATTTTCCATGCTGTTTTCAATTATAAATGAGAAGGTCAGACTGTAACCCCCACGACACTGTTCAAATGATCTTTTTCCATTATAATTGATATTTTAAATTGCTTTATAACTGCCTTAGCTATAAATTCATGCCCATTATTTGTATTAAATGCTGGCGTCATTTAGGTTTGCTGGCCGTGTTCCCAGAATAATGCTTTTGGAGGGGAGTGTGTCCATCTTGAAGAACTGGGGGAGAGCAAGGGATGATCCACAACTCTAAAATTCTCATTAATAATTAGAAGACAAATTATACCAAGTATATGCTGTCCAGTAAACATAGTTGCTAGGATTAGAGGCCCCTGAGTTGAAACTAAAATAGTTAGTCATGGTCTCATCTCTTTTTAAACAGAGTTTAGATGCACACACACAGGTATGCTTTCTACCCCTTTAAGAGCTCAGCCTAGTTGTCAGTTCAGGCACTGCCAAAGTGTGAATCTGCAACTTAGCTGAGCTGTTCTGCAGCAAGAGTGCAGGGAATGCAGAAGAGGCACTGGGAGGGATACGCTTGTTGCCTGAGAAAAGACCTTGCCAGTGTTGGACTCCAGTGCAGTCAGGTCAATGCAGACTACAGTTTGCATCTGTAAAGTCCGTAGAGGAAGCCATGCATTCTCTGCTTCATTTCTGCACAGTGCCAGACTCAAAACCAGAGAAGTGGTGTCTGCATCCTTCCTCATTGAAAGCATCACTTTGGTTACCTGGGGGGATCTGGAAAATGCATTAGGGGATTAGCAGCTTCTCTATCTAGGTCCTACCAGAGAGACTTTGAGACCCCTCTAACCTCCACCCCTCCAGAGTAGGTGTGGATTTTGGTCCTACAAGAGGAAATGGGTAAAGCGGAAGAGGGAGAATCATAGAATATCCTGAGTTGGAAGGACCCCATAGGGATCATCAGGTCCCACTCCTGGCTCCATATAGGATCACCCGAAAATTCAGACTATATGTCTGAGAGTGTTATCTAAATGTTTATTGAACTCCAACAAGCTTGGTGCCATGATAAGACTTATGACAAGGTGCAAAAGGAAGGCCCTGGAAATGACCACATTCTACAAGAGCATTAGGAATACATGGAGAGAAGAAAGGTGAGAATGGGGCCAAGGAAGGCTTGTGTAAGTATTACAAAGGCGAATGCTGCTTGTGTTTTTTGTAAGGGCCACCTCTGCCTACGTGTATTTGCAATCTGCCACGCTCCATAAGCTGAAAGTAAATATCTTTCCAGAGCCTTTCAGCCAGGACTGTTTATGAACATGTGGCATGGTAACATATGTGCTGTAGGCAAGAGAATTAAATAAACTAGCAGAAAAGTTCAGCAATGGGAGGGCAAGGCTGGCAGTTCAGCAGTCAGTCCAGGATTGAGGTGTCTATTTAAGGAAGTAGGCGGCTGGAGCCTGCTAGTGTCTGTGTAAGTGTAAGGCACGTGAGTCACAAATTATTTGGCTTGTTACTGTTGTTAGTCGAGGTGAAAAAAGTAAACAAATCATCAAGGAAATATACTATTATTAACGTCTGATCATTACTATAGTTGGAAGCATATAAAGGCAAAACTGAGTTCATACAGCAAACATAAATCTGTCAGTTCCTAACACTTTTCAGCTTGACTTTGCAACCAGAAAATGGTCTTCTAGTCCGGGTTGTTTGCCTTTAAAATTTTAAAGTTTTATTTTTTTTCCCCCACAGGTAAAAAGCAAGTTTTTACTGGGCAAATGTAATTAATCCCCAAGGGGCATCATGAGAGACCTTAACTTTTCTGGATTATCAGGAGGGTTGTAGTTGTTTAAGATAGATTTTCTCTGTGAATTGACAGTAGACAAAAGTGATGTCTGGATGAAAGTGTAGCAAGGTCAATGGAAATGCATCCTTTTTGTGTTTTAATTTTCATTTTCTTTCCTGTTTTTCCTTATAGTGTGTTCAGAAAAATCTAGATAGCACAGGCACCATGATTTGGGTCTTGGTGTTCATTCCTCTGTCCTTCCCTTTTCTGATACTATCGAGTCTCTACCATTCTACCCATAGCGTTGTACATGCTTACTGGGCTTTGCCTAGACTATTGACTCAGCTCCCTATTTACAGTGCCTTGAGTGCATTTATGCTTCTCCTTTATTGCCCGAATCTCCATGTGGAATACAGGGAGACAGAGAAATCGAACAATTTTTTTGCAATTGTTCATGTTGTAGAAAAATCTAAATTTCAAGGAATGAAGAAGACTTCCTTACCCTAAAGACTCTCCCCTGCTAAATTTCAAAGGCATATTGCAAATAAAAAAGGGGCTAGAATGTAATGTAAGAAGATTACAAAGAAACAAGTAAAAGAAAAACTGCCACAGGAATATTTTATACCAGAAATCATTAGACAATTGCCATTGAAAGGCCATTACCAACTCTCACTATTATAAAAGAAATTGTAATTGCACTTTAAACAGGTAGGGTGACACCTTCTGCACATATTTGTCTGTCATTGGACACATCTTGGCACTTCTGCTTATTAATGTATGTGATAATCATACAATGAATAACTGGATTGAGAAGAGTCTATTGAGAACAGCTGCTAACAGTAGCTAAAAGAACCACCTATCATATCTTTACTGGAATCCCTGAAAATAAAGAGGAATGTCTGTCTTCAGAAATAATTACAAGTCTGAAATAAATATGTCCATAACATTTAGCAAAAGTTGTTCCCGTTGCTACTACTACTACTACTACCAAGTTTTGTATTTTTCTTGTGAAAGATAAAATCTGTCTACTGAGAAAAAATAATAATAATGATTAGATATCATTAAAATATGTATGTGTATATCCCTAAGTTGTAATGCTGTCTAAATTTATCAAGTTAGAAAGCACACCTGCTGTACCTGATAAATTCATTACACACCAATCAATGTTTTTTTCTGGATGTCAACCAATTCTTCTCATAATTACTATCTTTTTTCTTTTTCTTTTTCTTTTTTTCTACCATTTCAGTTATTTGGTTGTTTCTTAGCCTGGGAAACACGAAATGTCAGCATTCCTGCTTTGAATGACAGCAAATACATCGGAATGAGTGTATACAATGTCGGGATTATGTGCATTATTGGTGCTGCTGTTTCATTTCTTACTCGGGACCAACCCAACGTGCAGTTCTGCATTGTTGCTTTAGTCATAATTTTCTGCAGTACCATCACTCTCTGCCTTGTGTTTGTACCTAAGGTAAGTGAATTTGTTTAGCATGGATGTTGATTTTTTTTGTTCCATTTTGTAATTGTGATTTCATATGTAAAAGTTCATTGCCTTTTCAAGCTCTGGTAAAATTACAAAGCTAGCCTGTCTGTATCTGAAACAAAGAAGAAAGTTTCATGAGATTTTAGAAAAAATACAAAGTTACAGGAATGTGAATGCATGCATTCCTAATGCCTACGTTTTACTGAATGTGTGAATGGTGACACAAAGGTTGTTCTCTCTAATTTTAATGGAATAAGAACTTTTTGGAGAGTGGGACTTGTGGGCATTAAGAAGGAACAGGTCCTGTTGTCTGCTCTACCACATGTCTCTTATATTGAAACCTCTAAGATACTCAAGTATGGTGGTATAGTAGGATTTATTAACACTTTAGAAAAAAAAAAGAGAAAAAAAAAAAACCAACTGTATGCAAACTGCAGTTGCTGACAAGACGTTTTTAATAACTGATATATTGTAGGTCTAAATGAGGCATGGACTGTAAAGCATATGCCTTCATTTCTTTTTGGTCCTTTGGACTCTTGCGGATGTGTGCATTATATGTTAATGGAAGACACTGAATCACGAAGAGCTGGCACTTAAATTATTTTACTTGCAGAGTTAAGCTTTAGGCATGAGTGTGATAGACCATAAATGATAAGAAAATTATTTCTATGTAAGTTTACTTCAGCTAAACGACAAGTTCTGGAGAATGCATTTGTATTCTGTGGTAAAATGTGCGATTGGGGTCATTTTAAATGATTTGCATAAACCTAGCATAACACCTCAAGTCAGATGTATATATAATTGGATGACTGGAACACTTGCAGAGCAAGATTTGAGATGCTTGTCTTACCAAGCTTATCTTTTCAATTAAGTCATGGTAAAACATTTGTGGCAGAATTGAACGAATTATAGTGAACATGTTGGTGCTAACTGGCATCTCTGATTATGGTCCTCAGAAGCGGAATTTACCTCAGTTGTTCCCTCTGAGAGAAAAGAGAGGCAAAGAAAAACAAAAGAAGCCAACTTCTGGTCTGCAGCAAAGCAGAGCAATTCATTTTCCAGGACTGACTAACCTGGATGCATTTACAAGTTCTGCAGTTCAATTCTTAAAAATTATATACCTGCAAATACATAGTCATATTCTTGTTCTGGATCTTAGGGAAAAATCAGAACTTCATTCTAAACTAATGAAAATTCCCAAACACAGCAAAGAAAAATGCTTTTATTATTAAATTAATGAAAATTCTGCAAGATTTAAGTTTGTAAGCTGTATGAAAATGCATATGAAAGCTCTACTGCCAAAAATACCTCCACAAAATTTCAAAAGTCTCTTCAAAGAGAAAATATTATTAATGCTGTGACATGCTCTTCTGCCCTTAGCTTTCATGCTCCCTTACCCATCCTTTTCCGCTGCTGCAGGCTCTGAAATGATTTTCCTGTGTCCTCTCTTAACCCTTTCATCTGACCTTCTTTTAACCCCCAACTTCCTTGCCATCATTTTTACTCACAGTTCTTTCTGCTCAAAATGCAAACATGAACTTTAGCCTCTGAGCATAATGTACTTCATCCCATCCTATGTATTGTCAGGTTCTAATACGCTTAGCTGTTTTGCATTACAAATGATCACTGGGCAAAGTACAGGAAAAAAAAGAGATTGAAGCAGGAGTTGCAATGTCCATTCAACACCTGAGTGCTTTCACAGCTGGACATTTTTTCTTCTGGCGTTTGTATATTGAGCCCTATATTTCTTCTTGCCATGCTTTGCAACAGTTGCAGTGGGATTACTGGCAAGCATTCTCCTCTGGAATGTGCTCCTGCCCAAGATCTCACCATGTCCAGGCCCACAGAATATTGTAACCAAGAACACTCAAGCTATACAGCTAGGTAAGACTTCAGTGTGAGACAGGCACCAAATCTCTCCCCTTAACAATTATGTAATCAGTACACTTTTGGTGCTATAGGAAGATTGTTGGTGAAATCCTAAAGCCTGAGGCTCAACAAGTGTAGAAGATACTGAAGATCTGGAAGCTTGCACTTCTTCATTTATTAAACCATGGTTAGGCAGATGCAAGCAGTAAAGTGCTTTTGAGCCATTTGAGTGGCTTTTATTTTTCTTCAGTTCAAAGTGAAATGCATTTCCTTCAGCAGTCTCAAGGTCTTACAGTGCTAGAATTCAATTTTTGTCCCGTAGCCCTTTTATGTATCTGAATAAGCAGCTGTTAAATTATGTAGGGAAACTAGAGGAAGAAACACAACATTTTTCCATTACTTCTCAGTTGTACTAATCCTATTTACATATACTGTGGCAATTAGTGTGCTTCTCCAGGCCCACCTCATGCACTGCTGTTTTGTTAGCATAAGTGACTCTAAAAAGAATCTCATAGCAGAATTAGACCAGGGACAAATTCTTCATTGCTTTCTTCATTTAAAGATGTGCTACACCACCTTTCATGGACTGAGGTGAAGACAGATGGCCAGTAGTTCCCTAGATCCTCATTCTCAACTTTCTTGAACACATCTGTAACATCTTCTCTCTCCCAGTGCTCATGAGCCTATCCTGATTAGCATCAGCTTCCAAAGATAATTGAGAGTGGCCTTGCAGTGACATCAGTCAGCTTCCTCAGTACTTGGGGATGCACCTCATTAGGTTGCATGAATTGATGTTCAACTGGCTTGGGGTTCCAGAGGGATGGGATTCCTGAAAACAATTATTACAAGTAAGGGCTAATGTGAAGTGGTCACTTAAGATCTGAGCCTTCTGCATGTCCTTAATCACCTAAAGAAATGCAGTCTATTGTCTTTAAACTTAGCACATTATCTCCATCTACAGACTTGGTCTGTAAACTCATGTCAGGGAGGAACTGGTTCAGTGTCAGATCAGTCATGTCTGTATCAGAATTTAGTCCTTTACTTCATGCCACCACAACTGTGGAGTGGTCATGCTTGCAAGAATAAGGTGAACCGATTATGAGTCATGGCTATACTACAAAATATGGCGGTACAGTACTTACAAAATTCCTTCTCCTTTCATCTTTTCAGACAACTCAGCAGCATTGGATTTATGAAATCATATCCATGTTCTCCAGGCAGGAGCTCCTTCAGCTCTATTTGTATATAAATATATGTGTATGCTCGGCAAGTAATCATAAGTTCTGTATTCTTTAGAGTACTCTGAAAAGATCTCACCTCCTTGCCAAACTGCTAGTAGCTTTCTCTCTTCATATTTTCACATTGTCACTGAATGTTGAACCTTACTTATACTTGTTTAAATTAAATATGTTTAAGGTTAACCTTTTTTTAGGTGGCTTATTGAATTTATTTGAACAGATTTGTTTTATTTTGGTCCCTAAAACCTAATTAAGTTTCTGTTGTCTCCAGAGTGCAATCTCCCTAGGGTTCTTTCTATTAATACTCCTACTTCATGTCTCTCTGCTTGAATGTTACTTCTAACAGTAGGAAAGAAGAAATTTCACGCAAAGCTGTGTTTGGGGAGTGAAGGGCTTGGGTTTGTTGTTTTTTCGGTTTTCTTAAGGAGAGAAAATATTCTTTGAAAGCATAAAGATGTCAATGAAGGATAAAGAGATTTTTGACAAAATACTGAAATATATCTTTAATTAAGTCCAGGCTAATATATTTTAAATGAGTTTTTCCAAGTTGGTGGATGAAAAACTTAACATGAGCCAGCAGTGTGCTCTTGCAGCTCAGAAAGCAAATGGCATCCTGGGCTCCATCAAAAGAGAGGTGGCCAACAGGGACAGGGAGGTGATCGTCCCTCTCTTCTCTGCTCTTGTGAGACCCCATCTGGAGTACTATGTCCAGGTCTGGGGCCCCCAGTACAAGAAAGACAGGCAAATGTTAGAGATAGTCCAGAGGAGAGCCATAAAGATGATCAGAGGGCTGGAGCACCTCCCCTACAATGAGGGGCTAAGGGAGCTGAGCTTGTTCAACCTGGAGAAAGGAAAGCTGCAGGGTGACCTAATTGCAGCCTTCCAGTACCTAGAGGGAGCTGTATGGGAACTGCTAAACCACAGCCTGAACCTCTGATAGAGCACCTGAGGCAAGCAATGATTCAGCCCTGGGTGCACAGCTGAAGGCAATTCAGCTGTGCTGCTGGAAGGGATGGAGCATGGATCCAACTCTCCTAGACCCCATTTAAGAGCTGACTACCAGTGGGGATCTCTTTTGGAGATTGCTCCTCTTGGAGTCTTCTCAGCAAGCCCAGGACAAGGGTAAGCATTTTATCTGTTCTTCTTTAGCATGATAACACATTTAGCCTGATAACCTGTTTAGCCTAACTTTCTTGTATATCCATATATTCACTGATTATACAGGAGCCTTCAAACAGGAGGAGAGTCAACTCTTTGAAAGGGTAGATAACAGTAGGGCAAGGGGAAATGGCTTTAAGTTGAGGGAAGGAAGATTTAGGTTGGATATTAGGGGGAGGTTCTTCACAGAGAGAGTGGTGAGGTGCTGGAACAGGCTGCCCACAGAGGTTTTGAGGACGTGTTCAAGGTCAGGTTGGATGGGGCCCTGGGCAACCTGGTCTAGTATTAAATGGGGAGGTTGGTGGCACTGCCTGTGGCAGGAAGATTGGAGATTCATGATTCTTGAGGTCCCTACCAATCTGGGCAGTTCTGTGATTTTGTGAACTTTTTTTTAACTCTTCCCTCTGCAAAATCATTCTAATTCTACCTATTCTGTGAATTTATTCAGAAATTGCCTCAGGTACTACTCACTTTCCAGTGTTTTGTATTTGAAAGTCAGAAAGGAACACCTTTCGAATACTTGGGGTACAAAAGAACTAGCTGCAAACACAAAACCTTCTACAGGATTTCTTAAGGCTTGTAAACCTTTCAGCTCATCACACTGCGGACAAATCCAGATGCAGCCACGCAGAACAGAAGATTTCAGTTCACTCAAAATCAAAAGAAAGAAGACTCAAAAACATCGACATCGGTCACCAGCGTCAATCAGGCCAGCACCTCTCGGCTAGAAGGACTGCAGTCAGAGAACCACCGCTTGAGGATGAAAATTACAGAGGTACTGCTTATTTGATGCATATTGCCTCTGCGATTTCTTTGCAGTTTTTTGTGATCTTTTTAAATGTTGTCTACTTTTTGGAGAAAAAAATCGTCTTTGCCTGTTAGCAAAATACTGAAATAATAGGAAACATTATTTATATGAATAGCTAATTATTACATTCAATGCTTAGAGGATGTGATAAATTGAAATTATGCCATAGCAAATTAAGGTGAAACTTCCTGTAGTTCTTTATGCCAGGTGCCTCATATGGACATGCTGGATGCCATACAGCTGTAGTGGTAGAAGGGCAACCTTTACACATCAGTTTAAAAGAGGCCTGCAGTCCCAAGGGCATATAAGAGCTGTCTTTGTTTCTATTTACGGCCAAGTTCAGTGACTGCCATTGCTGGCAGTCTAAGAGATCACATGTGAAATACATGAATCCCCTTTAAGCTATAAAATGGGTATTCTTCATTATGTCCATCCTTGTTCCGGAGACTTCAAACAATGGCAAATCAACAGTGAAGTTAGTCCATTTTGTGTGACAAGATATCCATAGTTGCTCTAACTACTATAAAAAATTATTTTCTTTTTGCCTGTATTCTGAAGTATTCTTATACCTTGAAGAAAAGGTATTCTATTTCAACTGTAACTTCATCCCTATCTTAACTAAGGACGATTGCTTAGGTAACAAAAAGATATTTACTCAGGCTATCAAAGATTTCAAAGCAAAAGCTATCCCCGTTTAAAGAAATGTAGTTCTTCAGTTTGTTTAGATACCTTTCATGTGACAACCTTGCAATATTTGAAGGCCCTGCTTGTTACTGGCTATCTTAGTGTTTATATCCTGCTATAGCTTTTCTACTAAGCCTCCTAACTCATGAGATCCCACATGAGCCTTGTAAGGCTTGTGACAGTGCTCACAGGTAAGGCTGGGGAGGGCAATTGAGCTGTATTAATGCACACAGGGCCCTGATACTCTTGTTAGACTTTACTTAAATAGATTAAATTAAATACTTTGATCCTGTAGGTCCAAATAGGAATTTCATTGTTAAGGCAACTTAAAACATGTCTCACCATAGCTAGTAGCTGCATCTCCGGATTATTTACCTTGCTACAGCCAAGTTCTATAAGGAAGCAATGTAAATTTAAATCTAGCACTTATAAAATTTGTTTAAGCCAGAGGTAAGTTGGACACCACATCCTGGACAGCTGTTCACAGAGAGCATCCCAAGCCCTAATTTATTCGGATTGGCAAAAGAGTTACAGTGATGTATGCCCATTGAATGCATAGATAATAATCAGTTTAGAGGTTTTCAGACTGAGCATTCTAATACTCATTTCTTCCTTATTCTGCAGTACACCTGGACTTACTTAAACCATCAGCTATTGGAGCTTGCTTTTTTTTTTTTTTTTGTATGCCCTGTGTGCTTTGTCACTGCTACCTGTAGCCAGATTTTTAGAGGTATTGTTGTAATGCTACAGGAACACTGTATTTGATATGATGTGCTGATTGCATGACCACCTGCTCCTGGTCTAACTATAGAAAGCTATGCAGTTATTGCAGGAACTTGAAGCTATGATCCTTGGCAATTCATACTCTTTCTGTTTTGCAGCTGGACAAAGACCTAGAAGAGGTCACAATGCAGCTTCAGGACACACCTGAGAAAACAACATACATTAAGCAGAACCACTATCAGGATCTCAATGACATTCTCAGTATACGGAACTTTACAGACAGCAAAGGTGAGAGTGAAATCTATTAGCTTAACCCAAAAAGGTTTTGAATACCGGAATGCCAATCTCATTGGATTGGTTCCAGAGTGCTCATATCTTAGTGAGATACATTTCAAATGTTTTGGTTGTGTAATGGAAAGCATGCAGAGTCATATTATAAATTGTATGATACTGAGTAGTGATTTTTCTGTACATATCTCTTCTACTGTATGCCTTAAGTGTATAGTACACAAGGTGAAGTAGGAAACTTTTAAAAACAAATTTGTGTTCAGAATGGATGGAATTGTACAATGCTTGAGATGTTGTAAGAGTTAATTGTGCCAGCCATCAACAGCAGGAAGCCCAATTTAATATGTGCTCATTTGAATAGATGTTCAAATTTTGTTTTGGGACACTGCTATAAAGTACATAGAATAGAAGCATGTAAATATTTCAGTGCTGATTTGGACTCTAAATGTAGAATTGAAGGCACTCATGTATGAAAATTCTTCCCTAGGAACTGATAAAAAAGGATTTCATGACTACTGAAATATTCCTAAGTTGTTTCTACCAGGTCTCTTGCATAGGTCCCTGAAGAAATATATGTGAAAGAACTGGTTCCATTAAAGCTATTTCACTTTTGGGAAGCAATAAGATCTGGTGTATAGGACAATAAAGTGGAAGCCAGGACACCCAGTTTCCATTTCTGACTGTAGAATTGATCTACTTTGTGAATTTTGGCAAATGACTTTGTACAGCTGAATATTATTATATTAGATGAAAAAAGCCCTGCATAGGAAAGTTGTACAGTTGCAAAGCTGTGCTCAGGTTCTCTATTGGTTATGTGAAACTAAAATTACTCCTGTGAATATAGTTGTTGAAGAATTATTTTAAAACAACAGCAACTCTTCATATGTGTTTTTGAAGTATACTTAAAGAGCACTTGGAAAAATTTATGTTCTCATGGGGTTCTTTGTTTTAGCCCGGGTATATGTTTGGTTGTGTAACTTTAGCAAAAAAAAAAAAAAAAAAAAAAAAAGGGGAAGAGCTCTACAGGGTTCCCAGTGTCCTTTTTAAAATTGAAAAACAGAAGGGGGGAAAGGAAGACAAGGAGGAAAAGGAAAACGTAAATAGCTGCTGGAGGCGTGTGATTATTGGGCTGAGATCAGCAACAAGAACTAACATCACTGAGTGGGATGAGGCAGTTTTACCAAGTGTTCAAAAGGAGCACATAGAATGTTCCACGCATGTCAGATGCTTTGGGAAAAAATTATAAATCATGAATAATATTTCAAGCAGAAAAGATACGTTGCATCGTGCCAACAGGCCATCTAAGTTTAGATATGGGAGACAAAAATGATTCTCAAGAGATACGTTGGATATAAATTTAGGACTGGATGCTTCCCACAGCAGGTTGCACTCCATTAGCAGTAGGATGCTGGCGAAGAAATCAAGAAGAAAGTATAACCTTTATGCACTTATTTGTGACTATGTTTACAGAAAACAATGATGTTTACTGCTGCTTTAAGTACCAGCATCCAAGATTGTCTGCATTCCCAAGTTGATCCTTGATTGGTACCTTAACTTCTACTTTTCAGCTTTTGAGTATATATTTAAGAACACCTTTATGTAATGAGTCTTTATGTCCTCAGTAGATGGGAATTGCATGCAATTGGGATTTACAGAATAGATATTCTCCTGCATACTGTAGTTGCTGGACAGTTTTCTGAATAGACCTACTGCATAAAGCTCAAGGAAGAGAGGGAGAGAAAGATGGTTTTCCTTGGTCATGTTTGCACTGAGTATGTTAGAGCACTGATGTGGGGGATGCAGGCAACCTGCATCTCAGTTTCCAGCCAGCAGTTTCCAAAGCTTAGTCTCACACTTGAGGGCAAATGCCCCAAATATGAGTATTACATAGTACTTTGATATTCAAACCTCCAATCTTTGAGTCACCACATTAAATAACTCATGATAGGATCTTCTTCCCCTCCGTGCCTGTCTTCTGCTTGTTGCCTATTTCCCTTCCTTTGCTACATCTGAGTCTCCTCTGTGTTTCTCCCTGCATCTTATCTCAATAGTCAACCTATGTGCTTAATTTAAATTTGCTAATGCAATCAAAATAATAAGGCTTTGGAGTACTCATGCTGCTGAATCACTGCTGCTTCTGTGCAGATGCATACAGACATCACTTAAACGTTACTTAAAGAAATTCTGGCCCTTATGGCTATGGGAAAGCTAACTCTGTCTGACATAACTATGTTTTCTGTAGCCATGCATTTCATATTACTTTCTGTAAATGCAAGTACGGAACCCTGAAATTATGCATCTCTGATGGTACTTTGCCAAGCTTCCAAAGATGCTAATATTTTATTATCATGACCTAGAAGGGGCCATGTGTCACCTCCATTTGCAAAAGGGAAAGCCTGCCCAATGTGGCTTAGGGGTGATGACAAGGTTCTTGCCTAGCTTGGACCTTGTAGAAAGTGTGAGCTGAGAAATAGGTAGTAATGTAGTGAAGAGAGATGCTAAAGTTAACAGCTGACTTAGAGCTAAAGATTGTAGCAGATCACTTGCCACTGATCTGGTGGACATGGCTGAATCCTGTGTCAATCCTCCTTGCAAAACTCCTTGCTATTCTGGAGTTCACACATGCAATGCAGCATAGCCCTATTGCTATTGCTTACACAAACCCAGAGCACTGCACTTCAGAGGACAGATAATAACGCAGGATTTATGCAATGCATCTCTAACAAGTCCTAATGAAACTTTAATGTCATAGCACACTTCAGTAGATTTCTGATCTGTAAAAATTGCCCAGAGTCAAAACTTCCAGCCTATAGCTGAGTGCCAAAGGAGGTTATCTGATTCTTTTCATCCCTTCCCACCCCTGCCAATTACCTCAAATACAGATTTAGGAGCCTAACACTACATGACTTTAACCAGAGCATGTAGATCCAGATGTGCTCTCCTATAACTGCCTGATCTCTGGCAAAGCCTTATAACTTTGGGGGCCTTAGTTAGCTGTTGCTAGTAATAGCTGCTAGTGTAGCTCACTCTTTGCTGGGATGGGGACTCCTTTACAGCACATTTTAATTCAATATGTGTCATTTAAAAAGAGAGATTATCTAGGATGCTCATCTCTTATTCACAAACCCATGTTCCCAAGATATCTATAGCAACTGGCCATATAAGAAAAGCAATTAAGAAAATGTGGATTGCAGTTTATGGTTTGATTGCTTTTTGTTTTGTTTTCTTTTTTAATGCAGGCTTTTATCTTTGGCTGTATTAGCTTTGTGCAGTCAGGCAATTCTCAGCATGCTCCATGGAATGTGACCTCAGATGGCTTCCCAGTTGCATATAAATTGTTTGCATGGGGCATTCCCTCATCTTCACAGTGACAGGACCTGAGGGAACACCATGGAGCAGTGTCAGGAGAAGGTCAGGTTGGGCATTAGGGAAAGGTTCTTCACCAGAGGGCAGTGGGCAAAGAATAGGATCCTCAGGGCAATGGTCATGGCCCGAGGCTGCCGGTGTTCAAGCATAAGTAAGGAATGCTCTAGGAAGGCTGAAGTTATTTCTGCTGTGAGAGCTATCGCACAGATAAAAGTTACTGAGGTTGTCACCGCACTCCCTAGAAGTTGCCATAAGCTAGAACACTGAGACTTTTACCACAGCTCCCTAGCTCTGGTACCATAAATAAGTATACTCCAGACCCCATAAGAAAGAATATTCCAAGATTTATGCCTAGAGCCTCCTCAGAGCCAGTGCAACCTGGGCCATGTTTCCTGGGGTTTTCCCTACAGATGTTGCAGTACAGGGCATCAGCCACCATGTTTCCAGAGCCCCTATATGCCATAACAGGGAGCTCAACCATGTGATTTTAAGAATAGCTTTTCACAACACTTAACAGCAGGTGTTTTCAGTAAATAAATGGAAGAAACCACTGTAAGAGGTTCCTTCTTGGCTTTTCTACTCATTTTCATCAGTTTCTGAACTTCTTTCTCCTCTCCAAGGAACAAATTCTGATAGCTATAAGTAAGTGGAAAGTGCATGCGCATCAGGATTAAATTTGATTCTGCAAGAAAAATGCAGTGGTAAGATACTGCATGTTTTTTTGAGTTGGCTAATTTTGTTACCCTTAAAATCCTACAATCATATTCTATTTGACTTCCATCTGACATTTCCTTAAATGAAATTATTTCTACATGAATGATTCATATATAGTGAGAGTTTCTCATAAAGTCAAACTGATAAAATATCCTCCAGTCAAATCTCCATTTATTGTGACTTTTGCCAGCGTGTTTCAGAGCAGTATATTACAAAAATTAATGAATGGCAACACTACTATGGGAAGTACAGAAAGAAGCAAAGTGCAGACATGCAGTGGTCCCCACTCATGCAATTTCTCTCACTGCAGGCACCCAAGCTTGCTCAGAAGGTCATTTGTGTTTAGAACTAGTGTTGGTTTTTACTCACTGCTGTAAATGGACTGGGAGTATTCATTGGCATGTCAGCTATGCCTACATACTGTCAGTTGTCACCTCACTGGTGTTTCTTAGTGCTTCTCCCCAAGTAAAAGTAGCTCAAAGAAAAACAGATTTCAAAGGAGTGTTGCTAGCAAATGCAAAGCAAAGCAGAGTTCATCTGTAGTAGAGGGAAAAACATTTATATGAAGCTGATTTTATTCAAGCATTAAGCTTGAGATTGAAAACACAGATTCAAAGGAAGGCTTTTCAAAACACTGATGCACAAGGCTTCAAGGAATGTGTTTTTTTTGTTTTTTTTGTTTTTTTTTATAAAGAAAAGATAGTTCTTTATTTCCTTATATAGAGACTGAGATACCAGTTTCCATGAAGCCTAGCAAATGGATTTCAATCATGAAATTAGAGGTTGTTTCTATTTCTATGGGGAGACCAATCTGCCAGATGTTCAGTTTCTGCTTTTCCTTGCACGGAAATGAATCTGTAGTAAAGGGAGTTTCTTCTGATTCACAGTAGTAAAAATCAGAAAAGAATCCTATTGGCTGTCTATTAAAAAGAAATTCCTAATGTAACTATGAGAAGTCATGACTTAGACTTCCTGAGTGCTGTGGGCATTGCTATGGAGAACTTTTTCAGATGTACCCAGCAGATGGTGTGAGCGTTTTGATTTGTCTTTTGGTTTTATTTTCTTTCCATCCTGTTTGCGTAAAAAGCAGAAAGTGACTGATCTAGTTTCCCAATAACATGGAAGGAAGTCTTCCTAGTTTCCCAGGAACATGGAAAAATGCAGTAAATTTTAAAAAATCTGCCTTTAGCGTTAAGGTTTTCAGTGTTCTTTACTAAGTTGACTAAGTTATCTATGCCAGATCTCGTAAGTCATCATTAAACCATGTATACTTCTTTGTGGCACATAAAATGTGTTTGCTAGCAAAGAGGAAACAGTGGTGGAATTGAAAAATGTGGGGTGAGTTGCAGTCCTGACACAAGTTATAAGCCAATGGAGGAGCATTGCTGCTAAAGTGTAATAATGAAAATGTTCTATAAAGCTACAGTGCACAAATGCCAACCAAAAATCTGTTATGTGAAGAACTGGGCTTCCCAAAATCCCAGAAGAAATTGCACCTGTGGTAGTGCTTTCTGTGTACAGCTGATTAGCATTAGTTAAAATGCATGAAGGCCAACATTATCCTGCTCTGCACCAAAATAGGGATGGCCAGCAGGGATAGGGAGGTGATTGTGCCCCTCTAATCTGCCCTCGTGAGGCCCCATCTGGAGTATTGCATCCAGGTCTGGGTCCTCCAGCAAGGGAGGATGCAGAGCTGTTGGAGTGGGTTCAGAGCAGGGGCACAGAAATGATCAGAGGGCTGGAGCAGCTCTCCTACTAAGACAGGCTGAGGGAACTGGGTTTCTTTAGCTTGGAGAAGACAAGGCTCTAGGGGCATCTTATTGCAGCTTTCCAGTACATGAAGGGAGTTTACAAGTGGGAGAGGGACCAACTTTTTACACAGTCTGATAGTGAAGGTTAAGGAGGAATGGCTTTAAACTTAGAGGATATTTAGGTTAGATCTTAGAAAGAAATTAATTACTCAGAGGACAGTGAGGCCTTGGCACAGGCTGCCCAGAGAAGATGTTGTGCCCCATCCCTGGAAACACTCAAGGTATGGATGGGGCCCTGGGCAGCTGAGCTGGTGAGAAGCAGCCCTGCCCATGGGTTGGGGCTGGGTGGGCTTTGAGATCCCTTGCAACCCAAGCCATTGTTGGATTTTATGAACAGATAATGCTGATGGAACCAGGCTGTGGGGTGTTATTGGGATGGCAGTGCTAAGGAGGGAGTCACCTCTGGCAAGCAGCTGGCAACAATGATCCCTTGGTTAAGCCTCTCCACAGCAGTAACACGATGTGCCCGTGCAGCTCAGATCTTGACTGTTGGAAGTAATTTCTCTGCTGATGTGGGCAAAAGTCCCAACCTAAAGCCTCCTGACTCTTGCTGACAACTGAGTAGAAGGTTTTATTTTCTAATGAACTAATCATAGAGTGCTGTGTGAAGCACTTGAGATCTATTTTTCTTTTTTCCCCTATGGTTTTTTGAATGGAAAGTGCTCAGGCATCATTTATTCAGACTTTTGAGTTCCTGTTTGAGGTCTAAGAAGGTGAAAATTACATAGAAACTGCTTCTGGCTAATGTAAATTCAATTTTGAAAGCATTTAGATCATCTGAGTGCAACATATTCAGTAGCATCTGCAATGGCAGACAGTACCCTGAGAATGAAGGGCGTTTTTCATGTGGCATGCTTAATGAACAGTGGAAGAAAAGATGGGAAGCACTAACAGAAGTGCTAAACTTCAGAGAAATCAGGAGATCAAATATTTGCCATTACCTTTAATTCATTTGCTTTCAGTTGTTCCTCTATATAAAATCAGTTTCCTCCAGCCTTAAGTTGTTTAAGTGCATGTGGTGATAGATAGTGGGTTTTCTTTCAGTTCCAGCTCCCGGAAGCATATTACTAAGTGAGAATCTTGATCTTCATTATTGACATGAAAGGTAAATGGGGGAAAAAAAAAATTCTAGTTTCCATAGCTGCGTAATAAATATCTAACACCTCCTTTTCCAAATAGCTCAGAGCTCTTGACAACGAATAAGTATTACACTACTGTTTTGTATTTTGAAAGGAGAAATAAGGAACAGAAAAAAAGTCTTAATATTGTGGCAGTCTGTGGATTCTGCCTGTATTCCTTAACATGGAATATTAAAACTTGTGTATGTACAGAAATACATGCAGTGTATGAAAGGAGTCATCTGCAAGAGTGGTAGGAAAGGGTTTATTAAGAATAACACGCAGAGTGAAATATAGGCAGTTGGTGTAAAGGGTGAGTAGGCATAGAACATGTAATTTCTGCTCTACTTTAAACTAGAACCCACACCTTTTTACAGGGGACCACCTTTCTCTCTCTCTCTTTCTCTCTCTCTCTTTCTCTCTCTCTCTTTCTCTCTCTCTCTCTCTCTCTCTCTCTCTCTCTCTCTCTCTCTCTCTCTCACACACACACACACACACACACACACACACACACACACACACACAC